CTGCATAGTAATTTTAACCTATAGCAAGTACTAAGGGTTGGACCATTTAAAAACTTGAATCATATTCAAGATTGATCCATTTAAAAAAAAATCTGATAAATGGTTAGCCAGTTTCTTGCTGAGACTATGCAACCTGGCAATCTAAGCTTGATGCACAAAGCTTGATGCCTGGGGATACAAAATGATGTTCTTAGTCCACTAAGAACTCGATGTAGTAGAAAAAATATACAGAAGTGAATTTTTATGTAAAACTATAGAAGATCCATATCCAATACTAAGAGAAATGTCAGGAGCCACTCAAAGGACCTGATAGTCTCTTCATCATAAAATTGAGATAAAGGTTAAATTTAATAGTACTAAGAAATACCCTTGCTTTTCACTTGCTCACTAAAAATCACTTACCTTTTTGAAGTGCAGACACCGGATTTTACCACTTTCCTGTTTAAGTCCCTGTAGTGACTGTGGAAGACTGTGAAATCCTTAGCCAGGCCTTCAAGGCAATGCACTACCTGCAGCTGCCTCCACCACCAGCTGTGTCTGGTGCTTTGCCCTCCTTGCCCTCTGCACTCCAGCTACACCAGTTTTCAGATTCTTCAATTACATCAAGCTTATTCCCACTTCAATGCCTTTGTGCGTATTCGGTTCTTTTTTTTTCCTCTCCAACCCGTCCTTTCTGTGGTTAGCCAAAGCTAACTGTCTTGAGACATTAGCATAAGCATCCTTCAGGAAAGCCTTCCCTCTGCCCCATACTTTCTCTGACCCTCACAGTTACAGTTAGATCACCTCTCCAACCTGTCCTTTCTGTGGTTAGCCAAAGCTAACTGTCTTGAGACATTAGCATAAGCATCCTTCTTCAGGAAAGCCTTCCCTCTGCCCCATACTTTCTCTGACCCTCACAGTTACAGTTAGATCATCAGTTGTGCATTGACTGATGAATGTCTAACTCCCCCACCAGATGGTAAGCTCTTTGAGATAAGGACCCTGTCTTTCCCCAGGGTCTAACACAGGGCCTTATATGGAGTAGACACCCAATAAATACATAGTGAATGGAAATCAATGGAGTCAGAAACTGCTGTTTTTATTCTGTTGAAGGATATCCTTAATTCTTAAGGAAAATACTTGCTGTATAATTTTTTTTAAATACCACTGTACACAATAAAACCATCTAAAAGGAATGTTGTATCTTTTTAAAAGTGCTTTCCACATAGAGAAGATTTGTTAAACAATAAGAATTCCTTAGAAAAAACCTTTAGAGTACTAAACTTTTGAGACAAAAATTAGCATTCCACTTTCAAGATGCCATTTGGTCATTTGATGAACTAATAGTTGGCCCTAAGCATTTTAACAGAGGCTTTCTGAAAACTGTTAAACCTGATTCACTTCAGGAGTAGAAATTTCATGCCACGAAAAATAGCACCATGTGGAGATATTTGGGAGTAACAGGCAAAGTCTTGAAGTATCCTTCAAGTCACCCCACTCAGCTGGCCAGCTTAACTTTACATGTAAGTCTTCCTTTAGCTGGAGATCTGTGAAATATTCTCAAATAGAGAAGAATATTAAGCCCAGAGAGTTTAAGCAAGTTGCCCAAAGTCTCACAGCTAATGCTGTGATAACATCATGACTAAAACTTTTCACACCTAGCTCTGGTCCCACAGACTTTGTGGTTTTCAAATTATTCTTAAAAAACCAATGTTCTGCAGAGGCATCTCAGGAGCCACCGTCTAGAGGAGTGAAGAAGCCTAGCTCCAACTACTTCAACTGGATCAGTCAATTCTATCTGGAGTTATACGTAAGATCTTGTTTGGGGGGAAAAACTTGAAAACCACTAATTAACTTCTCATAGTTATGAGTCTGCACCAGTAAGGCTGGTTCCCTGTTTGCATTTACTTTTTATGCCTTTGTCATGTGACGTTAAGCTCAACCTGACTTCTGCCTACTTTACATGAAGCACAAAGAGATTCCATCTAACCTTTTTCCATTGTGTTTCCTTTTTCTTCTTCCTGCTTTTTCATCTCTTCAATTTCCTTCACCTTTGCATCATGCTCATCAGCTAGGGTTTTCCATTCTACTCTGTTATTCTGAAGACCATTCAGCATAGGTGTGATTTCACTGTGAAACCGTGAGAACTCCTAGAGAGAATTTTAGGTCAGAAACTATTTAAATTATAAAGTTGATTTTCAGTATTTTTCATATGCAGAGAAGAAGCTGTAAAGAAATATTACAGTGCTTGGAGCTGCTAGGATTAGCTTAACTTGGTGCCTTTGAAGCCTGGAAAAGACAGGTGCTGTCTTTCCTTCCTGCCTAAGTAAATCTGTTCAATTTGCTCACATCTGAGTTCTCGCACCTTTTATTCTGCCCCTGAAGGAGATTAACGTAAAACCTCAAACTGCATTAGAGAAACTATGACACCCCCAATGGTTTTCCATGCGGGTGACTTTTATTTTGGTTACAGTTTGAAAGAAAAATTCCCATCCAAATGATTATAAATTTCATTCAAGTAATTTGTTTACTCACCTTATATACAAAAGTACAAACAAAATCAATAAATCCAACTTGAAGTTTGGGTAGTTCATCTTTTTTGTTTCTGTCCATCATGGGCTAGAAAGAGAAATAAATCCTTTTAAGATAGGATTCTAAGATTTAGTGAACAAAACAGACTGATTTGTACCAATAATTTTTAGTAAGTGATGGATTTTTATTGCAAGATCTTTACAATTGGTTGTTGCTGCAGCACTGTTCTCTCCAGATCTCCCTGTTCCCAAAATTCACTGGCAACCAGAAGTGCTACCTACAAATGAGAAAGGCGAGGTTCAGTAAATCCACTTATGAACAGAGAACTTGCATTTTATTAGTACGAGTGACAGAGATAGTTTATAGTCAGTGCTTGAAGTGTTGTCAAACCATATGCTTTAAGTTTTAAAAAGATGTCATTTATAGATTATATTGAAATGAGAGAGGGAAACTTTTTCTCCTATTTCGGTGTTCTAGACTTAACCTGGGAGTGTCTATCTCCTATTTGCTATTGCCACCACTTCTCAACAATAAAAAAGGAAATGAGAGAATATTTAATTCCATTAAACATCATGCTTCAAGCTCTAACCACTCCTCCTTTGTCCTGCCTATCTGTTAGCATCTAGCATACATATATTTTTGTGTGGGGATGTACACACACACACACACACTCACACACACACAGATTAGTACATAGCATTACTTGATTACAGTGTAGGCATATTTGAAGTTTAATTTATAGTGTTAAAATCTATCAAGTTCATCAAACACCTGCCAGCTGCCTTATACCAGCATGAGCCAGGGATCCCAAGAGGAATAAAGTGTGACCTTGTTCTTTAAATGTTCACAGTTTAGCGAAGACAGCCATATAAACAGTATGGTAAGTGCTATAATAATAATGATAGTATAAGTGCTGTGGATCAAGGAGAAGGGAATAAAGATGGTTCATGAAGGAGGAAGGTTACATTTATACTATATTGTCAAGAATGAATACTAATTTGCCAGGTAGAAAGGGGAAGATTGTGTGAAGAGATAAAATTGAGCATCCGGAGCTTTCGTGAGTAGCAGCTTAGAGAGTGAGGCGTGGCGTGGGAGTGGTGGGAAATGAGCCTGGGAGTGTGAATTAAGGACAGATAGTGACAAGCCATGCAGACCTCGCTGGGAAGTTTGAACTTGATTCTCTAGGTTAGTGGTTTTTGTTCCTGGAGGCCTAGGGTTCCTCTGAAGTGCACTAGGGGCCCAACAGGGTGGAGGCCAAGAAAGATTAAAGCTAAAGCAGCTTTGCTTTTTTCTCTTTTATAAAGTGATCTTTGTACAAGTTTTGTGGGGGGAAAATGGATGTCTTTTTAAAAAAGAAGTTGGAAACCTCTGTCACTGGGAGTTTAGAGACTTTCCAGCAGTGGAGTGGCTGAGCAGAGCTCTGTTTATAAACATCCCAGCAGCAGGTCAGGAGGTGGGTGGGGGAGTTAATGATGAGAGGAGATCAATGAGGAGGCTGCCACCACCGTTCTGATAGAGGTCTGGACCGAGGCAATGGCAAGGGTGACAGAATGATTTGGAAATGGAGGAGATAAGTTCAAGCAGGACCCCAGGTTTCTGGCCTGGGTGATGGCATGGATAAGGAATGTAGGAGGAAGAGCAGGCATGTTGAGATGGAAAGAGGGCTGGTATTTGGTTTTGGACTTGATGGTGATGGAGTTCAGGGCAAGCTACTTCCAAATATTCTAAACTAAAGAAATTTGAGAACATTACTCTCACGTTCCCCTCAGCCCTTCTCCCCTGAAGCAGATCATAAACCCTAGGAAGGATTTTCTGACCTTCCCCTGAAGCAGGTCATGAGACCCTCATTCAAGAAGTGCCCTCCCTATACCTGGAGGAAAGGAGCCAAGACACAGGTGCCAGGAAGAACCTGAACAAACGGGCCTTGCTATTTCCCCAGTTTATTACCCTTAGACCATATCCCTTTTGGCCAATCCTATTTCTTCATGGCTATACACTTCTTCATCAAACCTAGCATAAAAATACACAAGTTTAACTGTTTCTTAGGGTTTTGATTTCCTTCATGTCATGTAAAATTTTAATACATCTGAATGCTTTTCTCATGTTAATTTGTCTTTTGTTATAGGGGCCTCAGCCATGAACCAAGGATGGGTGAGAAAAAGCTATTTTTGGGCCGGCCCGGTGGCGCACTGCTACAGTGCACTGCTACGGTGCGCTGCTTGGGAGCGCGGTGGCGCTCCCGCCCAGGGTTCGGATCCCACATACAGACCGGCCGCTCACTGGCTGAGCGAGGTGCGGGCGTGACACCGAGGGTTGTGATCCCGTTGCCAGTCCCGGTCTGGTACGGGCGCGACACTGAGGGTTGCGATCCGTTGCCGGTCACGAAAAAAGACAAAAAGGAAAAAGAAAAAGAAAAAGCTATTTTCTCCTCCCCTACAATGGGTTCCAATT